CATTTTGACAAAGACTGAGCRATGGTGAACATTTCTGGTCCTCTTGTCTATATAATATGGAAGTTCACATCAGTACCCCTGAAGACAAGATGGATGTGAGTCACCTTGTCTTCCTGGTGTAGCTATACTAATTGAAGATTTTTTTCTGCTTTTCACCAGTACTTTTTTTTCATTTTGGGGGTTGGAGTGGAGATGGGAGCAGTAGTCAGACATGATTTATTGAGATCTATAATCATGCCTCTGGCCTAGGTCTCTAGTAATAGCTTCTGATGGTGGCATATACAATACATGTTAAAGAGATACACTGAAAATTATCAATATTTATCTCATTTTCCTCCATTTCCCACAGTGAACATTTATTACTTTTTAATCAGAATAGAACTAAAAATTCTGAAGTCAACAGGTAATTCAGTTGCTTGGGGTTAGGARAATATATGGTCCTTAAACATTTCATTGGACTCACCTTTGAAATCTACRTTTCCTGAATAGACCTTCACAGTTGCAAGGTAGGCTCTTCTCACTATTGGAATGGCTTTTACTCTGTGAAGTCTTCCTGATTCCAAAAGCATCTCCCTGGGATGTTCTCCCTCCTCCTATTTGTTTATCTTAGCATAGGTGTATTATTRTTTGTTGGTATATTATTGTTCAATATATTAATGTGCTTTTCTCCTTTGTGTTTTGGTTTTCATTCTTTGCCTGGACACCCTCTGGGGGGTGGGAGAAGCTGGCAGATAGAGACCACTTAAGTAGGAAGGTAAAGCAAGTCATCTGGCTATTCATACATTCATAGCATTTTTTTTTAATCTCCARCCACAAGTTTCCTATAAACTAGATTTATTGCCAGAAAGGGATTTTCCAATTGATTTTCATACCAAGCTTATCAAAATAGAGRCCTAGATGATGAATTTCATAATTTATTCCATAATATAAAGAAAATGCCTTTGGCCTACTAGGGAAATCTCAGTCTAAGATGCCTCCCTAAATGGGAGGCTATGACAGAGGAGATARGGAGATGGAAGTTCACACTTGTGATCCCAAAGGGTAATGAACAGGAGGTAAAAGARGTGAGGAAAGGAAAAGAGGGCTGCAACACATGGATCCTGGTGTTTAATGAAGTTCAGGAAACACTTTTGCCTAATTCAAGCTGAACCCACATGTGATAGGGAGAACACAGACTGCACAGCCTGGAGGGAAACCCACAAAGCAAACTCAAGGTGCGCAGGAGAGAGGAAGATGGAGCCCACGTCCCTGAGGGGAGCACGCATGAGCTRCTTCCATTCCTGCGTGCTGTGTACATAATTGAGAAGTTCCAATCTTCCAAGGACAAAGTTAACTGAGGGTTTGTTGGGCGCTGACTAGAAGAGGCCAATTACAGGGACAAAGTGGCAGCAGGGCCACCTCAGCACCATTGAGGACCAAGGTGTGGATGGGTCAACCAAGGAACACTGAGAAGGAAGTACCTAACTCTACTTGAWGAGGCCAAAAGATGCCTCCCAGAGGACAGGGAAATCAGGCTGAGTTTTGGTGGATCAATCTTCTGGATGGGCAAGAACTGGAGGGACAGARGAATACAGCAGTCCTCTGAGAGTCTCATGTTCCAGGTACTATAATAAAGCAAAAGGAATTCTGTAATGGCATAAGTTTGGGGAACTATGTGTTATGGCTGTCTCTTGGAAACATTTGCAAATAAAGTAACCAATCACTCCTCCTGTTGCTATTAGAGAGGTTTACAAGACTCAAACACAACAGGAGGTATTTGAGAGAAGATTGATGGCTTGGGTGTCCTCACTCCACCCCCAAGAAAGAAGTATAGAATGTTTCTCCCTCCACCCCAAACTCRATGAAAGGAGCTTCAAAGAGACCATTTGGTGATGTTGATTAGCATGCTCAGAAGGGAGGAAGACATCCAGGTGCTGACCCCACCTGGAAAGGCTAAGGAGAGAAAGAAATATTGAGCTGCTGTTTTGATGGCAAAAAAAAAAAAAAGAAGAAGAAGAAGAAGCGGCTGTATTGGGATAGATATACACTCCCAGAATTTGGGAGGGCTCAAAGAATTCATGGCTAGTTTCTGTGAGCACATTAAAGAAAAAAAAATGTAGGCTCATTTAGGGTCACACTTAGCTGGGAAGAGTAGAAAGACCTCAGCAGAAAGAATACAAAGGTGCAGGGGACACCCAGAGGCTGAAATAAGCAACAGATTGGACAAGGAACACAAACCCCAGGTAAGATGCTTGGAGCAGGTGATATTCCAGTGAACTCCCCTGGGTATATCAAGAAAGTCATAGAGGCTGACCTTGGCCATCTGCCAAGACCAGAGAWCACAGAACACAGAACAGGGTCTCCYGYAAGTGCCGCCAGGAAAGAACTTTCCTGATGTCCTACTCTCTTCTCTCAAACTCCAACTCCAAGAGGGTCAGAAATTGCAATGGGCAAAACTGAGGAGCAGACCAGCAGGGGTCTCCAGCCAAGAGCAARCCAGATGGAAGGAGGCGCAAATGTACCTCAAGTTCAAAAGATAATCATTATGTGGAAAGAGAGCATTTTAATAACTACACTAGTAGGTGTTGAAGTGTTTAGGAACATCAAGTGGCCAAAGGAAATAGCTCAGTGTCCATCCAAGGGATAGGGAGGAATGGACCCCAAAGAATGTGACTGAAGGATTCCTCCTCAAGAGGTAGGAAGATAAGGTGAAAGAAGTAGTTGTCCTTTTTTTTTTTTTTTTTTGGTACTACGGATTGAATATAGGGGTGCTTTACAACTGAACTGCATCTCCAAGCACTTTCTATTTCTTTCTATATTTTTACTTTGAGGCAGGATCTCACAAAGTTGCCCAGGCTGGCCTCAGACTTGAAATTTTCTCACCTCAGCCTCCCAAGTTGCTGGGTTTATAGGTGTGCACAACTACACCTGGCTAAAATCRCCTTATGAATTCATCTCTTAAGCAAGGGATGTTTGGGCTATATAAGGAACACAGAGAGGAGGAAAGGAAAGAGAGGGGGAGAGTAAAAGAAATGAGAGAGGGAGACGGGAGAAGATGACAGAAGAGAGAGGGAAAGAGGTGGGTAAGGAACAATAATAGGAGAAGAGAGAGTAAAGGATGGGAGAAGGAAGAGAAAGAGAAATATCCAATAGGACTATGCCCCCAACTACTCTCCATCGTTAACCTTTATTTGCCACTTTCAAACAGGGCTGTCCAACCAATGCTGTGACTCACACCTGTAATCTCAACTGCRATTCAGGAGGTCAGCCTGGGCAATTTAGTAAGACCCTGTCTCAAAATCCTACAACTCAGTTCCCCCAGTGGAATGAAGTCCCAGCCTCACCCCCCCCCCCATGTTACCTACTTGATCAGACACCTGTTCCTGAGGTTGCTTTCTTCCCTGTTTCCTATTACCTCCCAAATAAGCTGTTCGCCCTCATCCTTGTCTCCTTCCCACAYCCATTCCAGGAGTAATGGCCTCTTCCTCCCCTCTTTGTCTCTCAGGGACTTTGAACTTCTCCTGTTACCTCTCCAGTCATCTCTGGCAGGTCTCTCTCTTCTGTTGAATGCCCCTAACCCACAGCACTGCCCCTTCTGGGAAAGAAAGGGAAGGATGCAGAACCCAGAGGCCTCTCCCACCTCTAAAGTAAGAGACCAGATCTCAGCTCAGGGTTTCCCCCTCCTTCCCCACAAGCAAACCAGGCAATGTCCTGGAGTGGCAGCCCCAGGCCCTGGCAGCTCAGTTCAAGGGTGGAGCTGCTTCCTGCCCGTCTGGTTGGGAGCACATTCAGGAGACATGAGCAGATGTTTGGCAGATGTTCAACCTTGTTCCCATCATCCAACAACAACACAATGCAGAGACGATGCAGGGACAAGGAAGAAAGAGAATTGCTGGGCAGTGGAGATGGCCACAGGAGGCACCGCCTCTGTCCCTCTGGATGGGAGGGAGTCAGGGTGCTCATGTGTCTGCATGTAGTGAGCTAGAACATGGTACGTACAGTGCCAAGAATCTGGGGTGGAGCTCTGGGTGGGTCAGCCTGTGTCACTCAGCTCCCTAGACAGAGCCCACAGCCCTAATGCCAGGTAGGCTGGGAGGCCCGGAGAAGCTGCAGGAATCTGGATCTATCAGAAAGGGAAGAACTGGAGCTAGGCAAGCTAAAACATAGCCCCTGGTCTGCTCCTGGACACATGTGGGGCACCTCAAATTCATTCTACACTGAAACTGGATGTTTTCCAAATACTGGTTAGCACAGAGCTCCAGAGAACCTATTCTCATTGTCAGAGTTGGTATGTGAGACTAACCCCAGGTTCCATCTATCAGGTTGGAAGAGGAACTGAGAAACTCAKAAACCAGTGAGCCAAGGCAGTCTGTGTATTCTTTTTAAAAATTTCAAAGATTTAATTGACAATAGTTGCATAAATTCTATGTGTATGATGTGATGATTTCATAGACATATGCATCATGTAATGATTATTCCAATCAAATTAATTAACACATTCATCATTGCCCAGGTTTTACATTAGGTCCCCAAAACTTGATCAATTTTTCACTGTATTTTTTTTTAATTTCAGGGAGTTCAAGTCTTTTCATCATAATTGGAGGAATTGCATGATAGATTAAATATTGTCAGCATTATTTTCCAAAATTTCTCATTAATGTTTTTCAACTCAGTCACAAAGACTCACCAATACTTATGTTTCTTTGGTAGAATCTGAGGTGAATGGTAGCAAAATCAGTAACAAGATTATTTGGAGTTTATGATAAGTTAGTMTGCTGAGCTGTGAATTTCATGTATCTTTGAGTGTGTTTTTAACAAAATGAAAAATTCTACATTGCACTAACCTGCTTTTGCCTTTAGGAAATGGCTATAAAGAGTTTATTAGATGTGATTACAAAAGGATGATATCTATCATGCACCTACCATGAAGCATAAAATGATGGTTTACAAATAACTGTTGAACAACTAAGGGAATCTTGGTTTCCCTTTCACCATGAACCTTCCAAATCATAAATGTCTTTCAAAACTATGGAAACTTCACAAGCATGCATGTTGTCTTTGCACAAGAGCTAAGCTAATCTTCTCTGAATCCTTCCAACTTAATAAGTGCTGCTGAAGCAAGCACAGAACTTGTTCATCTTTTAATTGAAAGTTTTTACCTGTCAAACATCTCCCCCACTACCATTACCAGCTTCTGGTACCCACCTATCTACTCTCTGCTTCTACAAATTCAACTTTTTCAGATTCCACAAATAGGTGAGATCATGCCCTATTTGTCTTTCTGTGCCTGGTTTATTTCACTTAACATAATGCCCTCTAGGTTTATCCATGTTGTCACAAATGACTGTAGTCCCACCATGTATTCATGGCATGGATGAGGGGTGCCGGCTCCTAATCCTCCACAGCAGCCACTTCTGCTCTCGGCTGTCCCAGAGTGGACCTGAGATGAGAATTTCCTTACACCTCCCTCCAGTGCCTCTTTCACTTCCTCCCCTTCAGTCACAGCCTGAGGCATGGTTCTTCCTGTGTGTGTCTCAGATGACACCTTTAAAGCAGGTGTCAACATAGAATTTGAATGCATGTCCAAGGTCACTCCCTATAATACATTATAACATTGCTCAATTCCCAATCTTACTGACTAAATTCAATCCAACAAAAATCATGAAGGATTGCTGCCAGAGAGGCAGCACCACTTGATGGTTAAGTCCTCTGGGCCTGGTTTTAGACTTCCTGGCTCCTTCCTTGCAAGTTGTGCAACACTGGGTAATTAACCTCTCTCAGTCTGTTTCCTATTCAGTAAAATTCAGAAAATGATAGAACTTATTTCACAGGTTGTATGTGAGAATTAAGTTGGTTAAGACATGCCAAAAGTGCTTGGAAAAGGGCCTGGCACATAGTGAAGTCCTGCTGGTGGTGATGATGATGATCCTCTAACACAAACCCAGAATGAATTTCTCTGTCCTCCGGGAGCCTATTGTAGGGCACAACAGACAATGCAGAACGAAAGTGCCGTGATAGAGAAAGTGCTAGTTCATGTGCAATGCTGGGCAAGTCACGCCCCCTCTCCAAGCTTCCCCTTACTTACCTTTAGAATTAGAAGGTTACATGCAAAATAAGCAGAGATCAGCATGAAGACCCATGTAGTAACGAGAATTGGTATTGAAGTAGAGCTGGAGAGGATGCAGAATGTTTAACACATGTAACCTTACTTAATCTGCACAGCAAGTCTATAGTGAGGGTTAATATTTTAGTCCTTTATTTTTTTCCAGTGCTAGGGAATGAACCCAGGATGCTTTACCACTGAGCTCCATCTGCAGCTCTTTTTACTTTTTATTTTGAGACAAGGTCTCACTAAGTTGCCTAGGYTGGCCTCAAACTTGCAATACTCCTGCTGCAGACTCCCAAGTCACTGAGATTATAGGCATGTGCCACTGTGCCCATCTTATTTTAGCCCTTTTGATAATCTAAGGATGAAAAGAGGTTCAGAAAAGTGCCATGATCTGCCAAGGCTACACAGTGAGGAAGTAACACATRTCTACACTGAGTCATCTGAGTCTACACCAGAGCTTGGACCCATTGTATCCTCCTGCCTCTCTAAAATACATTGCCTCATTTAATTTGTTCTTTTAAATTTAAATGAGTCTGAGAGGAAGATAGTTTCCAGYTTAGAAAACTGATGCTTGCTGAGGACAAAGGATTCAGCCAAGGCTGATAAACAACAGAGAGGACTGTGGAGTCGCCACTCCACACGTCAAGCTGGACCTGTGGGCCCAGAGTTCAGGGCACAATTTCCTGGAGAACTCCAGACTCCCTGATGGAATGTCCATAAAAAATCCCCAAGGAGCTGTATTCTAACCTGGACTCCCCTTGGCACAAGCCCCCGGAATGCTGTTTAAACCAGCTTTTACAGAGACTCATACACCATTTCTTTTATAAAGAAAAAAAAATGAACAGATACCCTGACCACAGTGTTTTTATGGTTTTTCCCCTCTTAAAATGTACATTTTGAAAACTGGAAACTCCCCCGTACTTTGAAATCAGTTCAACAGTTGAGCAATTTCAAGTGTTGACTTGTAACGTTATTAACATTGACATCTTGTGGCCACTTTGGGAAACAGCAAGGCCAAATCAATGGGTGAGAACCTAGGATCTCCCTGGCTTCAAAGCACTCCAGATCCTAACCCAGGCAGGCCCTGGCTCCAAGGTGCCTGGGGTCATGAAGTTGATCCTCCCCATCACTCACTCACTATTCTTCCCAGACCCTGCCTCTGTCTTTCCCAAGGCTTCAAGTGTATCCTTTCCCTTCCCAGGGTTTCTTTCCCCATCTGCAAATAACCAGCCACATGAGCACTGGTCTCTGCAGATTCTGACATACTATGGCTCTGTTGCTGGTGTCTGACTAAATGGCAGAAAATTGGCATTGCATTGAGCTGACTGTAATATGTTCTGAAATGTTTCTTAGACAGTTGGATTATTTATAATTGCCACTTCAAGCCCTTTGCCTTATTTCTCTAAAGGGATGTTTGTGATTTTTGTTTTCACTTGTAAGAGTTTATCTACTAATCAATTGTCTTCCTGACAACATGTTTTCCCCTTGGGAATCGAACACTTTAACCCAATCAGGCTCTTCACAACATTTTGGGGTTACTGAATTTATACTGGATTATTATTGAAGGGAAAGCAAGAAATGAGAGATGGGTAAGCAAGAAGTGAAAGACCGAGAGCAGGCAGAGATACACATGAGAGTTTACTTGTCAGAGCGACAAATAAAGGCCATCTCTCTATAGGAGAGTTCTGGGACTCTTATGGAGGAGGGTCAGGACTCAGAGCTGGGCGGGTCCTAATGCGGCTGGTTAAGGGTTGTGTTGGTATGAGGGAGTGGTCARCCTTTCTYAGAAACGCCCTTGGGCAGGAAAGTGAAACTGTTTCCTTACAATGGCCATCCAGATGCTAAGCAAAGACCTTATAATTAATAAGAACCTTATAAGTGGTTTTGAATGGTTATTCCCCCAAAATAAAGCAATTTAAAAAAAAAAAAAGCTCCAGATGAAATCGGGAAATACTGAGTGAATTTACCAATGGAAAAAAAGTTGTTTCCACTATTTTTGCCTTTGGTGAAGAGATAGTAGAAAAATAAAAGACTCTGCTCAGACCCATCAATCTGCATTGCCAGCTCTGCTCTCCCTAATCTCCTGGCTTTGGAGTCTTTCACCAGCTGTGATTCCAAACTTAGAAACAACCTCTTTCAATGTGCCTTGTACCCCTCCGTCCCAGACTGACCTTCCTTCCTTTTCCTATCCCTGTCCTGCTCAGAAATATGTGACTCTCTGCTGGCTACCTTTTAAATGCCACAGCCTTGCCCCTTCACCTTTTCCACACCTTGCCCCCACCTTTTCAATGTCTTTAACCTCCTTCTGATCCTCCCTCCCTGCATGTTCCAGGCAAACTAAACTTATCTACTTCAAGGAACATCCTGCATTTCCCCATGTCAATGGCTTTGCCTTATGCTGGTATTTATTGTCATTTCTCCCCAATAGGAAGAGCCTTTCTTTACTTCCCAAACATCATTTCCCCACTAGAGGCCATAAAGGTGGGAACACACTCATTTCCCTCGGGATCCCAGTGTCTAGCTCAATGCCTGGTATAAAACTGTCTATGATGTCTACTGGATTTCATTGAATATAAAAAAGGTCTATTGGATAAGGGAAAGAAGAGGAGTCCAACCCCAGGCAGTGGGGAGCCAAGTGTGTTGATAGAGATGAATTCACTTTCTGAACTTGCTTAGGAAGGCAGAAGGAAGCAGGGGCAGCCCTTGCACACACAGAGCACCTGGTCCCCCTACTGACACAGGCAATTCTCCTTGTAGCCTTCCAAGGTGAAGTTCTCAGAGCAAGGAGGTAGGCCACCAATTCCCTGTTCTTGCTAGATTTCTCCATGTACCTAATGGCAGAAAGTTAAGGTACTTACCTTGAGATTGGATTTGGATGGGAATAAACAGCCCAGCAGWTGACAGCACTGTAGCTGGATTGCAGCTACAGCCACAGAAAATAGCCTCTACTCAGGGTCTCTAGGCAACCATTTTGGCTGTCCTACACCTACCTTCCTCTGATGCTTGAATCTTAGGGAAGAATGTCCACCTTCTCCTCCTCCCCTGACCTTACATTCACCAAGTTATTGAGTCCTGTCTCTCCCCCTAATCCCCATGACTTCTCTGACACAGCCTGCACTCAAAATCTCATCATCTCATTCTCCCTGATGACTCCATAATAATCTTTCTAGCTCAAAATCATGCCATTCAGCTGGATGTGGTGGTACACTCTTATAATCCCAGGATGCTAAGGCAAGTTCAAGATCAGAATCAGCAACTTAGTGAGACCCTGTTTCAAGATAAAAAATCAAAAGGGTTGGGGATGTAGCTCAGTGGTAGAGTACCCATAGATTCAATCCCTAGTACCAAAATTTAAAAAAAAAAAATGCCACTCTCCTCCTTGAAATCTTTCAAAGGTTGGCTATCGTTTTGAGATAAAATTCAAATTCAATAATCTGACACATGCAGCCAAGAGCAATGTTAAAAATATTTAACAACCTGTATGACTTTCTGAAAATCACTGGACATCAATCAAACAAAAAGAACTCTAGTAACAGTGTTAGGCAGGGACCTGAARGCCCCCTGTTAGCCAGACATTAACTCCCCAGTTGTGTTATAGGGAAGTCCAGGAGGGTACCAGACTCCCAGGGGCATCTCAGGGGTTAGGTTCAGTAGCTACTTACAATAGGATTGAGGTATTGCAGTATTTTAAGAACCCACACAGGGCCACACTGGGTATTACCTGTACACAGTCTATTCTAAACTGGCTTATTCCTAGTTTCCACCTCTCCCTGCTATTCCAGATGTCACACTTCAGGGATATAGAGGTGGCCTCTGCAAATGAAATGTGGCCTCACTGCCTGGAAAGTGTTTCCYAGTGTCCTTTCTAGCTCGAGTGTCATCTGAGGGCAGCCTTCCTGGCCTCCAGGTATGAGTAACCTCCTTGTGCTTCCACTGGGATCTTAGAGCCGCCTGGGCACACTCACACTGAGGCCTCTTTTTCCCTGTCTCCCCCATTCAGAGGCTCTTTACYTCATTCTTCTCTGTCTTGGCCACCCTAAGTAGAACACTGGCCCTCAATTGAATTAAAGTCAACCATAGATCTTGGAGGAGACTGTATCCACAACTCAAGGCAGAGCTTTGTGCGCATCGTCATAGCAACAGTGACTTGGTGCTGTATAACATGTGAGCACTCACAGCATGTAGGATGGTTTCCACACTTTGTGATTATGCACCTTTCCCCACAAATTTTGAACATTTGCTATGAAACACACCTAAGTATACTTCTTCTATTTATCAGTTTTATTCATGCCTACTAAGCCAAAATATTATGCACATTAAAAACTTTTTGAACAGTGTAAAGCACACACGTGAAGGATAAAATAATGATATATATAGAAGCCTGAAGTCTTCTTTTCACATCTCAAGGGCCATCTTGTGTGGTCCACACTGGAGGCCACTGCTGAGGCACATGTGTATTCAGGTCTCGGCATAGCATTTGCTCCTGGAGGGCCAGTTTGCAACTGCCAGAATTCTAGGTTTGCATTAAAGCCCAGCTCAGATGTTCAAAGAAGATTATGAAGATCCCTAGAATGCATCTCATAGACCACATATTCTGATCTCTACAGGAAAGCTGGGAGGGGAGGGAGAGGGGAGGGGGAAGGGGGAAGGGAAGGGAGGGGAAGGGAGAGGAGGGAAAGAAAGGGAAGGGAAGGGAAGAAGAAAGAAAAGAGGAGAGGGAATGAACCTTTTATGCCATCCTCTGAAAATGGCAAATAAACATCGAGAAGAATGTCTAGGATGGTGACCCTTGAATGACAGATTTTCCCCTAGGGGACATTTTCCCTCAGGGGACATTTAGCAATGTCTAGAGATGTTTTCGTTTCTCATAACTTCAGGAGTGCAACTACTGCAGAATCTAGGCATGTTGCCAAACATCATATAATGCAGAGGACAGTCCACAAGAAAAAGAAATTATTTGGGGAAAATAAATATAAAATAATAAGATAAATAAGAGTGCTGAGATTAGGAAACTTTGGTCTAGAAGGAGAGCGAGCATGCTTAGTTCTGCCAGAGTTCTGCTGCTTCTGAGCTCTGTGGCCTTGAGCAGGGTATTTCACTCCTCCATGCTTGGTGCCTCCTCTATAAATGGATTCATCATTTATTAACTCATTCATTCCCTTAACAGACACTTCTCAGGAAGTGGAGATGAGCAGTGATCAAGACCCAAGGGACTGTGGGAACTAAATAAACCAAGTGTCAAAAGCCCTTCATAATTGTGTAAGATGCTCAAGGAACCAGGGCAGCAGATTGATGGCACAGTTGGTGCATGTAGGATGTGGGCTCCCTTCAGAAGTCCTCACTTTCTAGTTGCTATCTTCCCTCTTTGAGACATCAAAGGWTTTATCATGTTTGAGCCTCTGTAGATGCAACGTGTATATTAAAATGATGCGGTTTGTAATGACAGTCAGCTAGGAAGCAGTCATGCCTTAGCTGTCATTGACTGTGGGTCTGAAAACTTGGTCAGTGGTCCAGATTCCTGTCGGGTGGGGCTGAACCTGGGTGGTTCAGTCAAGAAACCACTGAAGGATGGTTCAAGGAAAGCCTGGAATCCCAATGTTGTATGAGAACTTTCCTCCTATGATGGATTCAAGAATGACTTTGTCATAAGAATGATCAGGTTTTGATGCTTGAAGATGGTTACAGAATGTCTTTCTCCAGATGGACAAGGTAACCCAGATCTACCTACCTGTTGCTTTTTGGAGACACAAGGGCAATCAAATCTTGCTCTCAGCTAAGCCAGTGATTCTTAGCCCAGGCTGCACATTAAAATTAATTAGTGAGTGGGGCCAGCTGAGATGCACATGCCTGTAACCCCAGAAACTTCAGAGGCTGAGATAGGAGGATCACAAGTTTGAGGCCAGCCCCAGCAGTTTAGTGAGGCCCCAAGGAACTTAGCAAGACCTTGGAGATGTATCTCAGTGGTAAAGCATCCCTGTTTTACAATCCCCAGTACAAAAACAAATTAAAAATTAGTGGGTTTTTTAAAATACTGATACCTGGACTCTACTCCAAAGAACTAAGGATCTCTAGAGATGAATCCAAGCATCTGAATTTTTAAAAAGCCCTACCTGATTGAAAGGTGCAAAGAATAGCCTGGGCAGTGGATGTTTTCAACTTCTCCAGGTGGTCCTAAATGTTCAGCCAGGCTGAGACCCACTGACAAAAGCCCTCTCTGATCACCTCTAGGAACTGCTACTTCATCCTCCACCTCCTGACACAGCAGGACTCCCCTTGACTGCACATGGGAGCCATCTGAAGAACACTGACAAAGCCCAATGTCCAGGCTGCACCCAGACCATTAAATTGAAATTTCTGGCTGGGACCCCACATGAGGAACTAATAAAGTTTCCAAGGTAAATCCAGCTCACAGCCAGGGTGGAATCTTGCCCTAAATCCCACATGCTTGATGGCAAAGCCAGCTCCCTGCAGAAGGCCAATCTGCACGGCCAACACTGCATCTATTTAAAACACCACTGGGGCCTACTTTGTGCCTCACAGCATATTTATTTGTGACCAGTCTTGCAGTTTACCTGTACCTACAAGGCTGGGCAACATTTTATAATACCTTACACATCATAGGCACTGAATGAAGTTTGAAAAATTGAACAAATAAATGGAAGGAGATATATATATATATATATATATATATATATATATATATATATATATATTCATATATATTTTTTTCAAATCATATGGGTGCCTCCATTAATGTGCTAGTGTTGAAGATAAGATAGAGATAAAAGTATTCCTCTATTAATGTGCTAGTTTTGAAGATAAGATAGAGATAAAAGTACTCTTCGGTTTGAAGAACACTATAAAATAATGGATAACTGGTCAGGTAGAGGACTTGACCTTCTAAGCCAGAGGCCAAAGCAAAAATATTAATGTTTTATAAGAGGGAGAATTTTAAATTTCAAGATAAAGCTATGGCTCACAGCTATGTATTGATGTACATCACACAGGTTCAAGAAGGGCACAATATTACCAAAAATCCAGTGGTGTTCTGATAGCTTTATTAAATAGCAAGTTATAAAGACTAACACACAGTCCTTGTAGGAGATGCTGCTAGAGAGGATCTAAGTCAGGGATGCTGGGTTCTTCAGAATTTGGTTATCAACAAAGGACTAGCACTTGTCATATCCAAATGCCACTCATTTTTCAGAGCTAGTTTTTAAATGTCCTAGACCCCTACCACTAATTCAATAATCCTAACATAGTCTTTATTTTAATATAGTATTCAGAGAGTTCTGTTTCTAAAATCAGTTTGAGGCATGACAAAGATTGCCAATTTATTTTAAAGCTACACTGGATAAGCACAGGGTCCAAGAGAGCAGGTGTAGGCCTGACATGTCACTGGGTGTCAAGGTCCATGGCCTGCTCCATGGCTTGGGTGTCCTTTGCTGGTGGTTTGGGCAGGTCCAGCATGGTGGAAAAGTCATTCCTGGGATTCCCAGTAACCAAAATCCAATGGTTCTTTGGTTTTTCAACCTTGTGTGAATCCAGATGGGTGTGAGCTGCAACTTCAACTTCTTTTCCAAAATAGGTCCTAAAGCAAGAAAAGATTAATTCTGGTTGGAAATCAAGTAACTCCTTTCAAAAGGATTTCATTTCATCTCAAAGCACCAAATAAAGCAGACTACTACACACAAAGCCCTTGGGATCTCTAAGACGTGGCCTGTTTGCAGGAAGTTTTCACCCTGTTTAGGTGAGGATTAGACAGGTCATGTCTGTTATAGCTAAAATCCAGCAGGAAAGGATTTAAATAAAAGGGGCTCCAATAAGATTTTCACACCATCAGAGTTCTGTGTGGCAACATTTCATCATCAAAGGACTTTTTTTGTGTGTCTTTATTTGTATTCACGAGCCCCTTATGTGGCATTTGCTGTACCCTGCAATACAATACCTTAAGAAAAGATGGCGGTGGACTGCCAGTGCCCGATTCGTGTAATGGTGATAGATGACGATTTTTTCATTTGCCTTTAGATAAAAAATTAAAAAATAAATTGTGCTATTATCATCCTGAATTAAGGTCTCCATTTTTCTATATGCAAAAATTTAGATTGTACATATTTCAATTTAGTATATGTCTATAATAAATATGTATGGAATAACTAAGAAGCCAAGCATTTGATTAAATACATTATGGTAGATATACATATGACAGAATAATTATTCAAAATCATAATATGGATCTTTGACAACCTGAGATATGGCCAATGGTATTATTAAATGTAAAAAAATATTCATGATGTTCTATCTTGTAAAAAAATTTACCTATACCTATGTACAGAAAAATAAATAGTAAACAACAGTAATCATCTGTGGAAAGTGGAACTATTACTAGTAATTTGCATATCTTAGTGTGCTTTTCTGACTTCATAAGTGAACATATATTGTCTTTATAATGAGAAAAAATAAATATTACTTTAAAAGCCTAACTCATGTAAGCTAAATGTGTCAGAAAAAGAAAAGCAGCCCCTGGAATCCAGAAGCTGACCCTCCTCTCAACTGTGGTTGGTGTTCTCCTAGATAACAGACTGATTTTAAGGAATGTCCACATTAGACGAGGCTACTCTGTGACCATGCTGGGTCAAGACAAGATCAAAACCATTCTGTAGTCATGACTGAAGACAGGCAAAACAAGAGCATTGTCCGGATCACAAAATCCCAAACATCCCGCCCTCCTTTACCAATGCCAGTTTTAGTTTTGCCTTTGTCTGCCCTTCTAGAGGTTAGAGATGCTGATGGGCCAGTCATGGGGTCCCTTTGCTTCCTGACAGCCTCCAATCCAGTGCAAAGTCTCACTTCATGGAACTCTCCCCAAAATACCCAACCGAAGCCCCATTCTATATGCATCTTTCCCAACACCTCCTTACTGAGGCACCCCACTTTCCCCAAGGTGTGCATTCTCCCTCATCCCAACAAGCAATATACCCAATTTGCTCAACTACAGGTGCTCCTGATGGCCTCTGGCCAGAGGATGGTGGCCTGTGCAAGGTAGCCTGGAGAGGTCTGGGGTTCCTGTTTTGCAGGTGTGTAACCATGACTAAGTGAGGTTAAGAGACCTGCCTCAGGCCATAAGGTGAGTTATCAGTGGTGCGAAGAGCTCCGGGGCTGGGCCACTGCTCCTTCTAGAACATAACAACCATCAAGGCCACAGTGAATACTTGCCAGTGCATTCTGTGAGCCAGGCACTGTTCATGCAAATGGATCTTTTAGAAGCCTTCACAAAACCTCCTAAGGTGAAAGTCATTCATGTCGCTATGTACAGATAAGGAACTGAGGCACTGACAGCTTAAATGGTGGACCTGAAACACAATTCCTAGGAAAGCAAAACTTGGCAAAGAATGACTGAGGATGAGAAATTTGTCAAGCCTGCTTCACTGTGAATCCTGGGAGGAGGACACTTGTGAAGCTGGGTCCACACAGCAAAGCTCCAGAGAGACAGGCATTCTGTGTGGAACAGATTCCAAGTAACGTCTACCTGTGGCCACTTCCTGGACAGGGAGCAGCAGCCACGGATGGCCAATCTGTAAATTCTTTCTGCTAAGGCCATACTCTCCCAGTGATTCTTAACAARCCTATGAGTAGCAAAGCCAAAAGTGAGGTCTGTGCCACGAACACCTGCTGCCCAACAGCACCTTACCTCGGGCTCCAGTCCCACAGAGTCCAAGTCTTATAAAATGTCCCCCACTGTCAAGAAGAATGACATTCTTTGCAGAACTACTGTGTTGCCCATGTGGTTGCCCTACTCTCTCCTTTAACTCCCTGAGACTTCCCAGTCTCTTTAGCAATGAGAATGCAACCAAATATTGTAAAGGAAGCAGGGTCATAATTCTTGTGATCTCACTCTGGACTTCTCAATCTATCTTGAGAACAGGGCCTTGGATTCAGCGTTTTTGTTTTTTGTTGGCTGGTTAGTTGGTTTTGTTTTTGGCACTGGGATTGCTTTACCACCAAGCTCCAGCCCCAGTCCTTTTTATGTTTTATTTTGAGTCAGGGTCTCACTAAGTTGCTGAGGCTGGCCTTGAACTTGTGATCCTCCAGGCTTAGCCTCCTAAGTCACAGGGATGACTGGTGTACATCACTCTGCCTGGCTAATCTTTACTGTTTTGTAAAAAGTTCTTTAGAGATGCTATCCTGCAGTCAGGGTTGAGAAACACTAATGCAGGATGCTGCCACAGAAAAACACTAGTGCCCTCTAACTTTGAACTAAAATTAAAGAAAAAGAGAGAGCAAGTTTTTTAAGCTAGGGGAAAATCTCTGTTCTACAGACAGGAGCAAGTGGCAGCATTGTTGCACTCATGCTGTAGCCTCACATCCTGGAAATCTGTGCCCTCCCTACCATGCACTCACCTGGATGGGGAAGCCTTCAAACTCCAGGCGCAGCTGTGGATCGAGGAAAGAAGCCTGCCAGCAGTTCAGGTGGGAGACCTCATCTGTCAGGTATACCTCCTGGAGCCAAGATTTCTTAGATGATTTCAGAAGGGTCCTGTGGTCACTGGATAAATATAACTGGAAATGACAGCAGACATGAAACAAAGTCATTGCTCCTGAAAAAGCATTCAGCAGGCTGGATGGCAAGAATGTTCCAAAGTAGTTTTATTATTGTTATTTGTTTAGAAATTTGGTTTTTGTTTGTCTGGAATTTGTTTTTTGGTTTTTTGTTTTTTGGGTTTTTTGTGTGTGTGTGTGTTTGTTTTATACTGGCAATGGAACCCAGGACATTCCACCACTGAGTTACATCCCCAGCCCTTTTAATTTTATTTATTTGTTTATTTATTTATTTATTTATTTTGAGAAAGGGTCTTACAAAATTACCCAGGCTACCCTCGAACTTGCAATCCTCTAACCTCAACCTCCGGAGGAGCTGGGATTATAGGAGTGCACTACTGTGCTGAGCTTCAAAAGCGGTTTTTAAAAACCCTGTTCTATCTGATTATATGAGAAAGCATGATTTTACTCTTCTTTGGACATGCCATCTTGGAATGTGGAAACCAACACACACACACACACACACACACACACACACACACACACACACAGTCAACTCAAACTACTTCTCTTTCTTTGAATACCAAACTCAGTCTCCCTGTCTTTCCCACTCCCTGCCTCTGCTCCCCTCCTCTGTTTCAAAGGATCGGACCTGGGTCAATTATTTATTATAAATAATGCTGCATCAAACTTGATGCATGAAGTACTCTACAGGCAAACATCATCACAGCTGATATCCATTTGGGAGTTTTCAACATGCCCTGTGCCCTTCTGGAATTTGTGTTAGTGCTGAGAATTTGTGTCAGCTTAGTGGCAGCCAGCAACCTTGCCAGAAACCACTCATCCTGCTGAAATGTCCAAAATGTTAGTTCCATGTGAGCTCTTTACTGGTTTACCTTCTGCCTGGATGTGGAGTTAGTTTCTGCATCTTTGATGGAATTTTAATAGGGCTTTCTACATAAAATCCCACACAGTGGGGCATTATGGGGAAGGTAGAAATGAGTTATCATCTTCAATGATTTCTCTACCTAGCAAGAGAAGGAGAAGCAATATAGATAAGGGATGCGGCTTGCTGTGGTTTGGGTGTTAAAGACACCCCTAAGGCCCATGTGTTAAAGGCATGTTTCCCAGGGTGGTTCTTTTGGGAATGGTGGAGCCTTTGAAAGGTGGGGCTTGAGGGAGTCCCTTAGCTCATTGGGGATGTTCTGAAAAGAGGATTGTGGAACCCTAACTCCTGTCTGTCCTTCTTTGCTCCCTGGCTCATGCCATAAGCAGTTTTGCTCTGCCATGAGTTGCCACCACGATGTGCTGCCTCACCACAGACCCAAAGCAATGATGGGTCCAACTGATCATGGACTGGAAAAGGCTAAATGGAGCTTTACTCTTTCTACATTGATTATCTCCAGGATTTTGTTACAGTGATGTGAAGCTAACACAACTAACAGTAAGGAAAGAGTTATCTAGCAGAGCTGCAGGCAATGTACTGTGTGAGGACAGAGGAAGCACAGTGCTCTCCTGGGGGCTGCAGAAAGGCTCTGAGGAGAAGCAGAGTGCTGGAGAGCCAGAGATGGGGAACACAAACAGGGAGGGCAAGGGCATCTCATTGGGAACTTCAAATGCCATAATGAGCACCTGGAACCTCCTTCTGAGGGCAGTGGGGAGCCTTGCTGGCCTTTCAATGAGGTGACCAGACATGATGAGCTTTTAAAGTATTCATCTGACTGCATCCTACCTACAACGGTCTGAGTCAAGATGGACTGAAGCGGGCAAACACTGTAGGCTTGGATGGAGGTTCAAAGTGGGAATGAGAGGACAGGCCAAAGAAAAAGCAGTGGAATGTGACACTTAGCAGGACATAGGTGGGAAAGGGACATGAACCCAAAACACACCACAAACTTGAGCCCTAGAAAACAGAACAGTGCCATTCAGAGCAGCACAAAACCATAACTTGAAATGGGGAAGAATATCTGTCTCAAACCACAAACTGTTGTATTTGTGTAAAGAAAAACAGCAATAAAATCAGGAACCAACCTACAAGGCCATCATTGCTAGATATTTTTTTACGGACGCCCTGGAAATGCTTGCTAATTCAAAGATAGAAAACAGAAATTGGAGGTCTGAGAATTTGGGAAGAGAGAGAATTGTCACTTTTTGTGGATGAAATTGTTGTCTACCTAAAAATATATACCAGAATCAACTGAAAAACCATTTGAATGAATGAGTAATTTCATCAAAGGTGAATATAAAAATTGATGGTTTTCTTATATTTTATAAGAAAAAATATTTTTCATGCTATCAAATGTTATTTCCTTATATTATCAAAAGGACCTTCTTAGAATGCTATCCAAAAATATAAGATGACAAGGAGAACCTTTAAGATCTGTGTCAAACCCATGTGAAAAAAGCCATAAAACCTTACTGAGAAACAGAAAATTTTACTAAGAGAATAAATGGAGAGACCCCTCAGAAGAGCTACTGAATAGGTAAATGTTCTGATGTTACAATGTCAATCAAAACATGAGGTAAGTTATTCCTGCAAGGGCTAACAGCCTTGGTGAAAATAATTATTACATTTAACTGAAAGAATAATTTCTAATGTAATTTGGACAAAGAAATGTAATCAGAGATAGTTATGAGCTGTCAAAGTATATTATAAAGCTGTAGTAATTAAGATACTCTAGTCCTAGAATAAAAATAGACAACTAGAGTCCAATGGATCAAAATAAAAAGCTCAGAAACAATGTGTAGTACACATACTAATTTAGTATGTGCTAAGGGAAGCATCATGTGTTGATAGAGAAAGGAATAATCAAGAGATAACAGATATGATTGTATGAATAGTCACAGGGGGAAATTTAGATACTCCCATAAAACCTTTTATCAGTATAAATCCCAAGTGGATCAAAGAATAAATTTAAACAAGACTCAAACTATAAACATCTAGAATTCAATTATTTTTTTTTTTTTGTCGTGCAAGGAATTGAACCAGGGCCTTGCATATGCTAGACAAGTGCTACACCACTGAGCTACACCCACAGCCCCAGATTCTTTCTATAGAATCTCTAAACAGACTAAACCTTAAAAGCAATGGGAAAAATTTCAAAGGAAAACATTGATTGATTTTTACTCAAAAACATAGTATTAGAACAACTACAACTTAAAAGCCAAGCAGCACGTGGGAGAAAATATTAGCAAGAAATATGAAAAATATATGAAGAAGCAGATATATGAACCCAAATCAATATATAGGCAAAGAACACATAATTCAAAAAAGAGAGAAAGGCAAGAAGAAAGGAATGAAAAGTAGGAAGATATAAATGGAAGGGGAAGGAGAGAAAACAAAACTGAAAACATAGGGAAATTAAAGCACTGCAATATTTACATATCCTTTTTCTTCTCATTTTGTTTGGTCATCAAAGTAGTAAAAATTATAATTATGATATTTGTTATGACTTGGATATGGGGCATCCCCCAAAAGCTCCTGTGATACTGCAGGAATGTTCTGAGGTGAAATGATTACATTGTGAGAGCCTGGCCTAATCAGTCCATCCTAGTTTGAATGGAATGACTGGGGTGTTAACTGTGAGTAGGTGGGGCATGGCTGGAGGGGGCGTGGGTSTCTGGGGACATGTTCTGGAAGAGTGCATCTTCCCTCAACCCTTCCCCCAATCCCTTCTCCCCTCTCTGTCTGCTCCCCGGCCACCATGAGGTGAACAGTGTTCCTCTACCAGGCCCTTCCGCCATGATGTTGTGCCTCACTTTGGACCCCAAGCAATGGAGTCAGCCCACAATGGACTAACACTCTGAAACCATGAACCAAAATAAACTTTTCCTCTTCCAGATGGGTCTTGTCAAGTATTTTGGACACAACAACACAAAGCTAACACAGTATTTAATGCAATTAATAGCTTTCTTATTTACTGCTTTTGAGAATACAAATTGGTAGAACCCATTACAAAAATAGATTATTATATGTATTCATAATTTTGAAATTATTCATATTTGTTTTCTCAGTAATTCCATGTCTCTTCCCGCAAAATATCTAAACAAAAAAGAGAATTCCTGATTTGGGATTGAGTGAAAGAAGTTGTAAGCATTTATACACAGATGTACACTGAAACTTTACATATAATAGGAAAATAGGAACACCAAACTCAACTGCCCAGAAGTAGAATAAAAAATAGCAAACTTTGATATTACCACACAATTATATATATTTGCACTCATTCAATATGATTGTCATGAAGAGCTTTGAGAAATATTCTTTTTAGTTATACATGGGCACAATGTCTTTATTTTGTTTATTTATTTTTATGTGGTGCTGAGGATCGAACCCAGTGCCTCACATGTGCGAGGCAAGCGCTCTGCCACTGAGCCACAACCCCAGCCCTGAGAAATGTTTTTTAAAAAATAATCTAGCTATGTATTCATTATGGTCACATCTAACTTTTATAAAAGAATATATRACCAGGCACAGAAATGCTGCCTACAATCCAAACAACTTGGGAGACTGAAGCAGGAGTATTGAAAGTTAGAGGCCTGCCTGGGAAACTTAGTGAGACCTTGTCTCAAAAAGTAAAGAGCTGTGGTGGAGCTCATGACAGAACACCACTGAGTTCAATCCGCAATACGAGGGGAAAAAAGTAAATAAATACAAATAAGTAAATAAATAATATTTAGAAAATTACAAATAAAATAAGTCAGATGTTAGGAATGATAATCTCTATATAGACAATGGTGATTTAATCTTCTCTCTTAACAATTTATTTATTTATTTATTTTTTAGAGAGAGAGAATTTTTTTTTTAATATTTATTTTTTAGTTTTCGGCAGACACAACATCGTTGTTTTTGTATGTGGTGCTGAGGATGGAACCCAGGCAGCACGCATGCCAGGCGAGCGCGCTACCACTTGAGCTATATCCTCAGCCCATCTCTCTTAACAATTTAATTTCTACATTTAAAATCATGCTTCATGGGACTAGGGGAACAGCTCAGTGGTAAAGTACTTGACTAACATTACCAAGGCCCTGCGTTTGATCTCCAATACCACACAAAATTGAAAAAATAAAAATAAAATCAAGCTGCACCTTGCTATCTATGGTGCACAACATCTTGACAGTTTTTTCTTAATAATATCTAATAATATATAAGAGGTAAGGAGGGGTAAGTCAAGAGAATACAAATGGAAGACATGATTTACAGTAGAAGGGGTAGAGAGAGAAAAGGGGAGGGGAGGGGAGGGGAGGGGAGGGGGGATAGTAGACAATAGGACAGACAGCAGAATACATCAGACACTAGAAAGGCAATATGTCAATCAATGGAAGGGTAACTGATGTGATACAGCAATTTGTATACGGGGTAAAAGCGGGAGTTCATAATCCACTTGAATCAAACCGTGTAATATGATGTATTAAGAACTATGTAATGTTATGAACGACCAATAAAAAAAAAATATCTAATAATAATAATAATAACAAAACAACAACAATGCTATATCACACAATAATGGAATCTTCAAATTTTAATGAGAAATTTTATATAGTCCCAGCCTTGCCGCTTATTAGCTGGGTGACTTGAGCCAAAATGATTTAACCTTTCTGTGCCTTGGTTTCTTTTTCTTTTTAATTTTTTTGTAGTTGTAGATGGACAGAATGCCTTTATTTTATTTGTTTATTTTTTTATGTGGTGCTGAGGACGGAACCCAGTGCCTCATGCATGCTAGGCAAGTGCTCTGCCACTTAGCTATAGCCCAAGCCCCTGTACCTCAGTTTCCCCATTAGCAAAATAGGGGTAAAAGATTCCCTACTTTATAGATTCCCATGAAGAATTAAATTAGTTAATACATGTGAAGCATTTACAACACTGAATATTATGCAGTAAGACAAGTATAATACTCCTCATTATATAGAGAAGACAGATTCAAAAGGTTAACTGACTTTTTCAAATTCCTATCACAAATTCCTATTGAGTTCCTGTATCTAGAATTCAAACTGAAATTTACCTGATTTTATTATATTCTTAATCCCCGGGGTAAAGTTCCCTGACTTATGCAAATTTAAGTATCCAAATATTATCCTTCTCCCTTGTTAAAAAAAAAGTCTGAAAGAAAAAGTTGTTCAATAGAACCAGATCTGATGGCACCATGCCCCCAGTCCTACCTACTTAAAAGCAGGAGTATCACAGAGTCCAGAAGTTTAAGACCAGCCTGGGTATATAATGAGTCCCTGCCTCTTAAAAAACAAATGGACAAAAGAGTTGTCAGATAATATACGTTGCTAGCATCAGTGACATTTGGCAGGTGTCAGATGATCATTAGTTAATCCAATCATTTAACTTGTAGGTAGAAGTTGTATAAACTTTGGGACTTTTTTGCCAATTGTATTACTAAAGGATTTTCTTTCCTTATTTTAGCTTTTAGAGGTCTATGGGGATTTTTTGTTTTGTTTTTGTTTGTTTGTTTTTGCAAAGTTAGAAGAAAGAATTGGCCCAAAACTGCCACTGAAAACTGCAGGATGAAACCATAACATAGTCAGAGATGTAGCCTCCATCTGTAGAGTTCTCTGTCCTCCTCAGGAGGTAGTTATTGGACCATCTTAAAAAAAAAATAAAAATGATCCGAAGAAGATATGCCAAGTTGAAGACTCACCATTTTGTTTTCAAATCCTCCTGTTATTCCAAGGTAAAAGTCCTGTCCATATCTAAGGACTTGACCAGTGGCATCTTTGCCTGCACTGTCAGGGGAGAATAAGTACAATATAACTACCCAGATTAGGATCAGTCTACAGATCTACTTTTGCTTATGCAATTTTGTTTAATATATTTTCTTGATAATCTATATTCACATTCTATAACTGAATTAGATAACTAAATAAAAGGTCTGTTGGGTTGGAGGTAAAATCCAGCGCCATGTTCTTCCTTGCCTGCACCATAGCCAGGATGCAGAGCATCTCTACTTTGCAAGCCTTTGGCTGGAGTGGCCCAACAACATTATGCTAATGTACACTAAGAAATTCTGGTCACTAGAATGGCAATATGTCAATCAATGGAAGGATAACTGATGTGATTCAGCAATCTGTATACGGGGTAAAAGTGGAAGTTCATAACCCWCTTGAATCAAACCGTGTAATATGATGTATTAAGAACTATGTAATGTTTTGAACGACCAATAATAAAAAAAAATWAAAAAAATTTAAAAAAAAGAAATTCTGGTCAAATGCATTGACATTTTTGGAGGTAACCAAGGTAGCACACTCATAGATATTTAATACAATCTTTCCTCTTAAAATGCAAGTTGTACATTTTAATGGACATTTAATTTTTAAAGAGCAAATTCCATCTACCACCAACTTGTATTAAACTATTTTTTGTTGTAAAAATAACAGCAACATTAAGAATGACAAAATCACTCAAATGAATTCAAAGTTTCTGTGTTATTAGAAAGCTTTAAAAAATCAAAAGGAGATCAGTAGAGGAAAGGAACCAGAAGGAAGAAGGGAATAGCGGGGGACAGGGGAGTACAGGGGTGTAATATTGGCCTGATTATATTGTTATATTATGTGCATGTGTGAATATGTAACAACAAATTCCATCATTATGTACAACTCTAATGCACCAATAAAAAATATGGAAAGAGGAAAAAAGATAAAAAAATAAAAGTTCGTATCAAAAGAACAAAAGAAAACTCCACTTTGCATCTAGCAGAATGCAAATTGAATTCCCTGGATCCAATAATTATGAAGCAAACATTTTGAAATGAGCCCAAGTTACCAGTCATCCTGCTAAGATAAAAATGATTGTAAAGGCTAATAATTCTCAAGGTTAAGCCAGCATGATGAGACCACGGAATCTTTTGCCTCCTACCAGCATTGCTGCCATCCCAGGGCATCCTTAAGCTACAAGTGAAACAGACACTATGGTGAAACTGAAAATCAAATCATCTCTACCTCAAAATGGTAAAAGTGTTTCTGCCAATTGGGATCCTGGTTGTAGTTGCACTCAGGCCACAGGGCACCTCTAATTCATCRTACAAGTGAGTTGAAATTTCATCTGGAGTCATGCAAAGGCTCAGGTCCCCACACTGAAACAAACCAGCTTCTTCCTTCTCAGGATAGTTGGGATTTAAAAGCATCACTTTGTCTCCAAAATGAATATATCCATCTTCAGATATGGAAAGCTGCATCTACAATTTTAATAAGAATTTGTCAAAAAAAAAAAAAACGGACAATTCCTGAACAGCCCAGGGCCATGGCCACTCCCAGGTGTACCCTCTTTCCTTCTCAGACTAGCACCCACATGGATTTCCTCAAATCCGAGTTTTCTTCCATTCCCTTCTACTTTGCCAATGCCAAATTCCCAGTAATCCCAAATAATGCCAGACAAAGCCAGTGAAAAAATCAAATGTGTCAACTCCATTATTAATTTAACTTTCATTGAGAATTTCCTGAGCAACACGATGTATTTTAATTATTATTAATCTATTGATTTCTTTATTTGGAAAATGCAAGTAATGTAATGAAGAGCAGACTTCCTTTGTATTTCTAAAATGTTAAGGAATTTTAAGCACTGTGACTCTTACATGGGAAAAAAATGGAATTTTTTCTTGCTTAACGTATACTCACACTTAATTCGACAAAACTTTGAAAACAATGTTGGAATTTTAAATTACCGGTCTCAAAAGATTCTTTTTCAGTCTTCTGTTTCTCTGAATGAGAAGTTTCCCCTTCTCTCTCTTGTCTAAAAAGTCTTTCATGTACTCCTGATTAAGGAGAAAAAGAATGAATTCCAAAGTATGGACAACAGCCCTAAATAGAACAGTGATGGCTTTTAAGTCAGAAGAATCTCAAGTAGAAAGAGCGAACTGTGAGAACAGAAAAGGAAATGTGAGCATAATAGAGTGGTGGGGAAATGTTTCAGCATTACTTTAATACTTTATGTTACCGGAGAATGTTTAGAAAAGGGAGAAAGACGCAAAGCTGTATTTATCCAAGCCAGTGACAATAGGAAGTAGAAACTGGAGGCTCTCTCGCCCCTTCTGAGGTCCCCCACCCCCACCCCCAGGTTGTAGGATGGGGACGGAAAGCCCACCCCTCCCCCAGAGGTTTGTTAAGAGGGACGTTTGAGAACGCGAGGCAAAGAATACWCCGTGAGTGAAGGGGATATTTCCGTGGTCCCTCCGGAAGGCCTGGGCCATCAGGCTAAGGAGAGGAAAGGGACAGTAATTCCATTTAGAGGTTCCTGCAGCCTCAGACTTTAGCTACCAAGGGCCCAGGGGAGTTTAGTGGAACTCTGACCTAAGTGGGGGGCATAGGGGAAGAGCAAGGCACCCGAGTTTATAAGGGGTGTCAGGGTGCTTAGAGTAGAAGCCCCATGAGCCCTGGGCTTGCAGGACAGTCCAGAAGGTGGGTTGGGGGGTATTTGGTGTGTGCTGGGGGGAGAGAGGAGGCGGGGTGCTGGAAGCCAGAGTTGAGGCCGGACTTTGGGCTGGGTTCGGGAGTTCCAGTCCACACCTGGCCACGCCCTCCATACCTCCTCCAGGTAGATGTCCTCGTTCCAGTTTCCCATCCGCACTCGTGGACAGTACAGATTCTGCGCCATCGTCCCTACAGTCCAGGGAACAGACCCCCAGACAGGCACTGGAGCGTTAGCGTGCCCGTCGCCATGACGACCCAGCCGCGGGCGATTGGTCAAGGTTAGTGTAAAGCTGGCCAATGAGTGACTGCACAGAAGTGCGTCGCCCGGGCCGCGAGCTTAGGGGTAGGTAGGTGGATCCAGCGGCAAGCCGAGCTGTCACCTGCTACCCCACCCTCTTCCACGATTTTGATCAATTAATTGCAAAGAGAGGAAAACTCCAGCCAACTAACAAACCTGACTGTCCTAAATGTTCTCTAGAGGAAAATTTTAAACTTTCTCYTTTTTATCAGAAATAAAACGAAAAATGCTATAAAAGTAGAGCTCCCTGGCTTATTGAACCACTAGAGAGCTTTTAAATGGAAGTATAAGTTGCTTGCAGGTTATTTTTCTTATCTTTATTATGAGCAGCAGTTTTGCTTTAATCATAAAACAATGTCAATAGACATTTGAAAATGAAACTAAYATGGAGGGGGATTATTCAAAATTTCATATCCTTTTAAGTAAGAAATTACTATATTAACATATTTTGATTTAAAGATTTCTYATGTAAATTCATACTTTCATGGACTTTATAGCATTCCTTCCTCCACCAATATCCAAGTGGAATGACAAGCCTGTGATTTGCAAGCATTCTGGATACAACTGAATATACTGTAGCCAACATTTTTTAAACAAGGTATTTTGAGTAGGAAAGATAAACAGTTACCTGGGACTGGATGTTAATTGAGTACCTTCAGTAATTCTGTATTTAGTGTCTCTTAATACAGGATAAAAMCGGAAGACACAGGAACCTTCCCTCCTTCCGGCAAGCCCAGTCTAAAAGAGAAAATAGTTCACGAAAACAAATGATTTCAGGAAGACTGTAATAAGTGCAATTAAAGAAGTGGTGATGAAGGGCCATGGAAGTTTAAGGAAGGGTCATTTCTGCAGAAGGGGATTGTGGGATGCAAATTGTATGACCTTTGGGTGATGTGGGGAGAGGTTGGTGCTTTGGAGTTGGACTTTGGATGAATTTGAGCTGGCAGGMTGCAACCCTGGATACAAATAGGAAAATCTTCACTTATGAATCCACTAGTTCTGTCATTATATCACGTCATCCTAGGTCAGATAACAGATTGTGAACAGCATCTGATGAATTAAGAAACTGAAATTCAAAGAAGTTAGCAGCTTTTCTAAGTTCAAAATAATAATCATGTGCCACACAATGATGTTTTGGTCAACAACTGACCTCATGTATGACTCTTGTTCCATACATTATAATGGAGCTGAAAAATTGCTTTAGCCTAGAGTAACATGTTCAATGCATTATTCACCTGTTGTGGTGATGCTGGTGTAAAAAAATCTAGAGAGCTGCCAGACCAATAAAAGTACAGTACATATAGTACATACAGTATAACACATAGTTATAATGGTTGATAATGACAATAAATGACTATTACTGCTATATTTGCTATATTATACTTTTTTCATTATTTTAGAGTACAGTCCTACTTATTAAAAAGGTATGCTATCAAACARTATGCCAGTTATTCTAGCAGTGGCTTTATCCATCTTGTGTATTTGACATCTCTCAATTGCATTGTTTTCTCTCGTGCTTGATTTGATCTCGTATTTTGTTCATCATGGCTCCTAAGCATGCAAAATGTGTTGCTAATGTTGCCAGTAAGAGACCATGTCAAGTGATTGACCTGGAAACAAATTAAAAATGATTAAAGGCTACAGCATTGGAAAATCAGTGTGGTTATTCCTCACCAGTCAGGCATGTGCTATCCTAGCATGGCCACAATATTAAAGAGCAAGAACAAAGTAAGGGAAGATCTTAAAAGATCTGCTTCATTTAAAGGCAAGGAGGCTAACAAAATTTTGAGAAGGACTTATATCAGACTTAGAGAAACTTCTGAGCACCCAAATTTAAGACCTGACACTCATGGTGTTTGTACAATGATGAAAATCAACTAAAACATATTTCTCAACTTGTGTCTCACAGACCGTGTCTCAATGCAAGGACTCAATACAGATTTTCTGACTCCATGTTTTTGTCCTTTTTTATTTATATATGACAATGGAATGTATTACAATTCTTATTACACATATAGAGCACAATTTTTCATATCTCTGGTTGTATACAAAGTATATTTACACCAATTCGTGTTTTTATACATGTACTTTGGATAATAATGATCATCACATTCCACCATCATTTTTAACCCCATGCCCCCTCCATTTGCCTTCAACAACTCTGCCCTATCTAGAGTTCATCCCATCCTCCCATTCCCCCACAACTCCACTATGAATCAAAGAAAACATTCGACATTTGGTTTTTTGGAGATTGGCTAATTTCACTTAGCATTATCCTCTCTAATCCATCCATTTACCTGCAACTGCCATGATTTATTCTCTTTTATTGCTGAGTAATATTCCATTGTGTATACAGGCCACTTTTTTATCCATTCATCTATTGAAGGGCACCTAGGTTGGTTCCACAGTTTAGCTATTGTGAATTGTGCTGCTATAAACATGGATGTGGCTGTGTCCCTGTAGTATGCTGTTTTTAAGTCCTTTGGGTATAGACCGAGGAGAGGAGAGAGATAGCTGGGTAAAATGGTGGTTCCATTCCCAATTTTCCAAGAAATCTCCATTCTGCTTTCCATATTGGCTGAATCAATTTGCAGTCCCACCAGCAGTGTATGAGTGTACCTTTTTTCCCCACATCCTTGCCAACATTTATTGTTGTTTGTCTTCATAATTGCTGCCATTCTGACTGGAGTGAGATGAAATCTTAGAGTGGTTTTGATTTGCATTTCTCTAATTGCTAGTGATTATGAACATTTTTTTCATATATTTGTTGATTGATTGAATGTCATCTTCTGAGAAGTGTCTGTTCAGGTCCTTGGCCCATTTATTGATTGAGTTATTTGTTATTCTTATGTTTACCTTTTTGAGTTCTTTAGATTAGTGCTCTATCTGATGTGTGAGGGGTAAAKATTTGCTCCCAAGATGTAGGCTCTCTATTCACCTCACAGATTGTTTCTTTTGCTGAGAAAAAACTTTTTAGTTTGAGTTCATCCCATTTATTGATTCTTGATTTTAATTCTTGTGCCACAGGAGTCTTACTAAGGAAGTTGGGGCCTAATCCCACATGATGGAGATTAGGGTCTACTTTTTCTTCTATTAGACACAGGGTCTCTGGTTATGTTCCTAAGTCCTTGATCCATTTTGAGTTGAGTTTTGTGCATGGTGAGAGATAGGGGTTTAATTTCATTTTGTTGCATATGGATTTCCAGTTTTCCCAGCACCATTTGTTGAAGAGGCTATCTTTTCTCCAACACATGTTTTTGGCAACTTTGTCTAATATAAGATAATTGCAGTTTTGTGGGTTAGTCTCTGTGTCTTCTATTCTGTACCATTGGTCTACTAGTCTGTTTTGGTGCCATTACCATGCTGTTTTGCAGAATTAATATTATCAAAATGATCATACTTCCAAAAGCACTATACAGATTTAATGCAATTCCAATCAAAATCCCAGTGACATTCCTCATAGCAATAGAAAAAGTAATCATGAAATTCATCTGGAAAAATAAAAGACCCAGAATATCTAAAGCAATTTTTAGCAGGAAGAGTGAGGCAGGTAGCATCACTATACCAGACCTTAAACTACACTTCAGAGTAATAGTTTTTTTTTCCTTTTAAATGTTTCCATGCCTGCTATAAATTGGGAATAAGAAAAGGCAACTCCAGTTTCATATTTTTAATAGGTTTATAATGAATTAATTCATTAAATAAGTCCTTTCACCAATGCAGTTTGGCTCCCACCTACTTCCTTTATAATATGAATCTGCATATTATAATATTAGACAGGTACATTATATTTCTATATATTATAGAGCCAATAATACAATTATATATCCATTGTTTTATGCAATAGTTTTTTAACTCAGTCAGAAGAAATATGTAATTATATTCTTTCACAAGTATATACATAATTATCTTTATTGATTCTCTTTGCTTTTTCACATGAATAAAAAAATCACTGCCTGATGTCACTTGTTTTCAACATTAAGACCTTTCCTTGGGTATTTCCTGTAAATCAAGTGTGCTAGCAAAACATTCTCTCCATTTTTGCTTACCTCTTTATTTTACTTTTATTTTTATAAGTTATTTTTCCAGGTATGTGATTCTTGGTTGATGTTTTATTGATTTTTGATACTTTTAATATGCCATTCTACTGCCTTTGACATTTTTGATTTCTGGTGGTAATTCAGCTATTAATCTTGGTGCAATATTCCTGTGTGTGTTCTTGTGGCTTTTGGCTTGTTTTCTCTTTTTCTTTCAACATTTTGACTACAGCRCATCTTTGCTTTTCTCCTTTTTGGAATTTGGTGAGTTTCCTAGATATGTTGATTAAATGCTCTTTTCATCAAATTTTGGGAGTTTGCAGTCATTGCTTTTTGAATATTTTTTCTGCTCCTCTTTCTGTCTCCTGTCTTTGTGAGGCTTTCATTATGTGTATKTTGATGCATTCGATGATATTCTACATGTCACGGAGCTGCTGTTTTTCTCCATGTTTTTCTCTGTTTTTCAGATTCTGTAATTTCTATTGACTTATCTACAAGTTTTCTGATCTTTTTCTTTCACTGTTGCATCTCTTCAGTGAATTTTTCAYTTGGGCTGTGATTATTTTCAACTCCAGAATTTGTTTGATATTTGATATTGATACTTACGGATCTTTATGGACATTCTATCGTAGATGAGGCATTGTCATCATTATCTTCCTTTAATTCTTTTATCATGGTTTAATCACAGTTTGTTTAATATATGTGTAATAGCTTCTTTGAAGTCCAATATTTGAACTMTCTCAAAGGCAGTTTCTGTTGCTTAATTTTCATTGTTACTATTTGTTTGTTCGTTTGTTTTACCCTATGTACAGGTTGTACTTTCCTGTTTCTTTGCAGGGCTCCTAACTT